TTTGTCGCGTCTATCTTCAACTGACATCGCACACAGTGATACTCGACTTCGTCTAAAGGTACCAATATAAACTCTTCGGCACACGACTACAGCAATTGTGCATTTTTAACGTTCTTCGAGAAATTACATTTCCATCTTTTCATTCCTTTACAGCGATGATTACTGAAATAAGTGCATTCTGTCATAGAATACAAATTAACAATACTAACAAAGCTGATCAATCTGCACTGACTGACACCAAGAGAACCTGTAGAAAAACTTGCAAAACACCAGGCAAACTACAGTGAAATATAATGTTAGAGGTTTGCAGCTATGGCTTGAGCAACAGATTCGATTAAGATTTTCTTACGGCATTATACATTTGTCGAAAGCTAATTCCTTTTGATGGTTATCCTGCGCTATTTCAAGTAGAATTCTTAATCGAATCTGCTAAAACGGGACAAACATTTCAAACTTGAAAAGTGAAAACTGCTGTAAATGTATAAATAAACTAGAACGTAGGTTACATTCGCACTAGCATTATATGTGACTCTCTAAGTAAGACATTTATTAAGACAGATTCAAAAATAATAAGTATGAACATAGTACGAAACTTACTTGCACATGTATACCAATAATCAGGAGTATAATGTAAGCCACTATTTGTATATTAATTTTGAAGTTACACGCTGAGGGGGGATAAAGGATTGCCACTCTTCACGTAAGTTTATTCTCTGAGCGGCGACAATTCCTTCGGATTCACTTAACTGGCTCTCCGTGACGGTCGTTAATTCGTTCCGCAAAAAACGATGCCGAGTCAAAGAGCCAACAACAGAGAAAGAAAGTCAATCATGAAGAGAAACTTTTCAACCGTTTCATTGGCGTTTCATTGGTGATGCGCAGGCAATTCGCCGCCAGACCAAAACCGCCGACAAAAAGAACTGTGGAGAGGGCTGCTGGATGAAAGAAATGGAGAAGAACTACTGGTCATCAAACCGGAGATAATCACCCATTTTGTAGCATTACAGGCGCAATAAGGAGAGCTTTAAAACTAAAAGCTAAAAGCAAACTTATCCTGGGGTAGAAAAGAGCAAATTAAATTCTGTGAAGATTACACCACTCTTTTACGAACTATCGCTAGTTGAACTTTTACATAAGAGTTTACATCAATGATTTTTTGAAATCTGAAATCTCAATGCTATTTGAAAACTGATAGCTGATTAATATATCGCAAAATTTAGGAACTAAGTGACAGTCTAATAAATGTTCTAATTCAGAATACACTTCATCCGCAATCAACCTCTCAATTGCTTAATATTTTAATCCTTTACAGAGAATTCATGATAAGTAGAAGACCGTTTTTAAAGTAAAGGAAGCTCAAGATGCATCTCAGTCATCAGAGCTGAGGGCTCGAAATCGAAAGACTGTGGATCTAATCTGCAAAGGAATCACTTATTTTTTTCTTCCGTTGATGGTAAAGAACCAGAGCACAGTACAGCGTTTTCGCAACAGAGATCAGGACACTGACTATTATCAATAAGCTACTCCTGTTTGAAGGACTGCTCCAAAATGGAGAATAGCACGGTATTTGAAATTCCAAGAAATATAGAAACCGTAAAAGGCGCTTAGCATTAAAGCATACTCGAGCCCGAAAAACGTGAGTTTCATACCCAAAGGGAAAAAAGCACTGGTCATGAATTTGCGGTCAAAATAAATTTACTGAAATACATTTTTCTTTATTTAAATTATTCAGAAAGAATTAGCGAATGAATGACTGATTTCTACAATTCAGAGCAACATCCTAAAAGCTCTTCTATCTCATCAGAATAGACCACTGTTGGCCAGCCTATACATAACCTGTACTAAGGCTAAACATTTTCTGTTTTGATGTCGGAGTTAAACAGCATACTAGCACCGTCCCACTGCTTCTTGCGGCCAAGGGTACCGTTTAGCCAGGTCACAGATTCATGGTAGCTAAACGGTTCCCTAAGTCGCTAGAAGCAAAGGGACGTTTGATACCAGCGTTTAAATCTGGTATCAAATGAGAAAATTTTATTTCTCTTAGCGGCGGTATCGAAAACAAGCGGTATACTAGTAAACCAGATAAAATAAGATCAGATCTGTTTTTATGTATCGACAAAGGGATCTTGGCTTGATTTTCGAGAGAACGTGCTTATGAGCCGAGTGGCAAGCAAACAAACTTAAGACTGAGACAAAGGAAAGATTAATAAAGACAACACTGAAAAAGCAGCAACGGTAAACCTAGATGAATAAGTCACGTCTATTCATTTAGGATATTGGTCATTTTCCTACAAGCAAAATACTGCACATGTGTCGAAAACACTTTTTAATTCTTCTCCAAACCAAGCAATGAACTGGGTACCGATGAAGATTTACAAGAGGATGGCTGTATCATGAGTTGCTCATTAAAATATGGTCTCCTAACATAAGCTGCAAAATAATTGCAAATCTTGCTCAGGATCTGATAGCGGTCGCACACTCCTCAATCGAACGAC